TTTAAAACAAAATGCATAATAGGTATATATTATTACAGGCTATACGATTTTAAGCGTAAGATGCTAGTGTCCATGAAATGTTCTGATTATTAAAATACTTTAAGGGATATCCAGGACTTGCCAATTTGCCTGATTCATTAAGTGTACAGCTTCTCTATGTTTAGACACCATTGTGTAGTATCAGAAAATTAGGTTTAAAATAATGTGAAATCACCAATATTATTTAGATATTCCATTTAAAAATAAATCTGTCCATTTTTTTTTCAAACCTTAAAAATTGCATTAAGCTATTTAAAAAAAATGTAGGCTATGGTCATTTTAATTATGTTAATACATCCAATAATAATAATAATAATAATAATAATAATAATAATAATAATAATCAATCTATCTATATATATATAAAGCAATGTATGTGTGTCTGTGTGTGTGTCTTTTATGCATTACCACACCTCTTATCACATAGCCGTGAAACTTCGGGAAGTTGTTGAGAATATTCCTGGAGAGGTTTCTGCGAAAAAAAAATTTCAAATTCGCAGGGGTGGCGCCCCGGCAGGGCGCGATTTGTTTTTTCTCTATGTACGCTATATAAAAATAAAAGTCTATTTTGATTTCACACTGTTCATCCGATAGGCATTAAACTTTGGGGAGTTTGTTATACCACTCTAGGGAAGGGTTATGTAAAAAAGTAATTTTTAATTTCGCAAGGGCGGCGCTTTCGGGAGGGTCCGATTTTTCTAAATATACGGTATGTATAAATAATAAAAGTGAATTGCAGAGACACTGTTCATCTGATAGGCATGAAACTTTGGGGAGTTCATTATGAAACTCCAGGGAAGGGTTCTATAAAAATCATTTTTAATTACGCAAGGGCGGCGCCACGTGAGGTTGCGATTTTTCTCTATATACGGTATATAAAAATAAACGTCGATTGCGATTTCACGGCGTTCATCCGATAGCCATGAAACTTTTGGGACTTGATAAGAACACTCCGGGAAGGGTTCCGTCAAAAATCATTTTTAATTTTGCAAGGGTGGCGCCACAGGAAGGTGCAATTTTCTCTATATATGGTATATAAAAATAAACGTCGATTGCGGTTTCACGGCGTTCATCCGATCGCCATCAAACTTTGGGGAGTTGATAAGAACACTCCGTGGAAGGTTTCTGTAAAAAAACTCCTTTATTAATTTGGCAAGGGCGGCGCCACGGGAGGGTGCGATTTTTCTCTATATATGGTTTATAAAAATATAAGTCTATTTCGGTTTACAACGTTCATCCGTGTACCATAAAACTGTGGGGAGATGATTAGATCACTCAATGGTAGGGTTCTGCAAAAAAAAAAAATAGTATTTTAATATTGCAAGGGCGGCGCCCCAGATGAGAGCGATTTTTTTCTCTATATGAAAAATAAAACTCGGATGCGGTTCATCCGAGTGCCATGAAACTTTAAGGAGTAGATGAGAATACTCCCGCGAATATTTCTGCGAAAAAGAAAACTAAAGTTTCTTATGGGCGGCGCCATGTAGGGTAGAATTTTCGTCAATACACGGTTTGGCGCCCAAAGTTTTGGAGCGACTATGTTGGCACTTGGCAACCGTTAATCGAGCGTCCTGCATAGCGAGTAAGGGGTACTACTATATTCAGCGGTAAAGCTACAACAGGCTTCTAAAAATAACTTTGTAACGCGAGGAAATCCTTCTGTACAATTTCGTCACGTTGCAAAAGATGAAAAAATAACTTTTTGAATATGACGAGCCTACTGTAGAGTTTCGTCACTTTGCGAATGATGCAATAAGCATCTATTATTAGACGATCCAGTCAGAAATTGAGATCGATCATCTAATAATAGACCATTAGTAACGCTACCATATTGCATCAGTCACACTGATGTTTAAAACACTTGAAATAATTTTTACGTGTTAAAGAAAAAATCCTGTTCATTTGTGTCACTTCAGCGAATGACGAAATGTGCATCATTGTTTACATGATGCTATTTGGTACTCTGGGTTATCCTATGAGCACGATGGCGCCTGTTAGTTTTAAGGAGCCAGGGGCCGTACGCTGCGCCTATGCCTTAGTGTAATCGGGGTGGGGGGGCTCCTGAGAGCGCCCCTCTACGTCCCTGACACATGGGTGGTCACCACAGTGTGTTCTACCTCATTATTTCGGTGAGTGATTAATGTACTTATAAGGTTTTCACGCGGTAGTCTAGGTAAACCCGTGTCCCGATATTTATCATCCAAGCGCAGGCATTTTTTACATTTGAATAACTAACTTTTAGAAAATAAGGTCACGGGTCTAAGAATATAGGATTGGTAACGCATAGATGAATCCCTTCTTATATATTTCGTCGGACTATCTTCTATTCCCGCGGCAACGCGCGGGGACGGGTACGCTAGTATATATACAAAGCAATGTATGTGTGTGTGCGCGTGTCTGTGTGTCTTTTATGCATTACCACACCTCTTATCACATCAGCGTCGAACTTTGGGAAGTTGTTGAGAATATTCCTGGGGAGGTTTCTGCGAAAAAAAAAAATTCCAATTCGCAGGGGTCGCGCCCCATCAGGGCGCGATTTGTTTTTCTCTGTATACGGTATGTAAAAATAGAAAGTCGATTTTGGTTTGACATCGTTCATCTGATAGCCATGAGACTTTGGGGAGTTCATAATAACATTCTAAGGAAGATTTCTGTAAAAAAATAGTTTTTAATTTCGCAAGGGCGGCGCCACGGGAGGGTGCGATTTTCCTCAATATATGGATATGGTATTTAAAAATAATAAAAGTGAATTGCAGTGACCCCGTTCATCCGATAGGCATGAAACTTTAAGAAATTGTTGAGAATATACCCAGGGAGGTTTCAGCGAAAAAAAAATCCAAATTCGCAGGGGTGGCGCCCCGACAGGGCGCAATTTGTCTTTTCTCTATATACGGTATATAAAAATAAAAGTCGATTTTGGCTTGGCACCATTCATCCGATCGCCATTAAACTTTGGTGAGTTCATTAAAACACTTTGGGGAAGGTTTCTGTAAAAAATCATTTTTAATTTCACAAGGGCGGCGCCACGGTAGGGTGCGATTTTTCTGTATATACCGTATATAAAAATAATAAAAGTGAATTGCCGTGACGCCGTGCACACGATCGCCATGAAACTTTGGGAAGATGTTGAGAATATCCCTGGAAAAGTTCCTGCACTAAAAACATTTTCAAATTTGCAGCGGCGGCGCCCCAGCAGGGAGCGATTTGATTTTTTCTCTTTATACCATATATAAAAATAAAAGTCGACTTTGGTTTGACAGCGTTCACCCGATAGCCATGAGCTTTAGGGAGTTGATTAGAACACTCTAGGTAAGTTAAAAAAAATTATTCTTAATTTCGCAAAGGCGGCGCCACGGGAGGGTGCGATTTTCCTCTTAATACAGTATATAAAAATAATAAAAGTGAACTGCAGTGACACCGTTCATCCGATAGGCATGAAACTTTGGGGAGTTCATTATAAAACTCTAAGGAAGGGTTTAGTAAAAAGGCATTTTTAATTTCGCAAAGGAGGCGCCCCAGGGGAGAGCGAATTTTTTTCTCTATAAACGGTATATAAAAAATAAAACTCGGATACGGTTCATCCGAGTGCCATGAAACTTTAGAGAGTAGATGAGAATACTCCCGAGAAAACTAAAGTTACTTATGGGCAGCGCCATATAGGGTACAACTTTCATCAATACACGGTTTGGCGCCCAGAGTTTTAGAGCGACGATGTTGGCACTTGGCATCCGTTAATCGAGCGTCCTGCATAGCGAGTAAGGGGTACTACTATATTCAGCGGTAAAACTACAACAGGCTTCTAAACCTAACTTTGTAAAGCGAGGAAATCCTTCTGTACAATTTCGTCATCTTGCTAAAGAAGAAAAAATAACTTTTTGAATATGAGGAGCCTACTATAGAGTTTCGTCACTCTTTGCGAATGATGCAATAAGCATCTAATATTAGACAATCCAGTCAGAAATTGAGATCGAGCATCTAATAATAGACTATTAGTAACGCTAGCATATTGATCAGTCACTCTGATGTTTAAAACACGTCTAATACCTTTTTTACGTGTTAAAGAAAAAAATCCTGTTCATTTGTGTCCCTTTAGCGAAATACGAAATCAGCATCATTATTAACAGGATGCTATTTGGCACGATGGCGCCTGTTAATTTTAAGGAGCTAGGGGTCGTACGCCGCGCCTATGCGGTAGTGAAATCGGGGGGGGGGGGGGGGGGGTGGGGGCCCTGAGAGCGCCACTCTACGTCTCTGACACATGGGCGGTCACCGAAGTGTGTTCTACCATATTATTTCGGTGAGTGATTAATGTACATTCAATGTTTTCACGCGGTAGTGTAGGTAAACCCGTTTCCCGATATTTATGATCCAAGCGCAGGCATTGTTTACATTTAAATAAATCACTTTTAGAAAAGACGGTCACGCGTCTAAGAACATATGATTGGTAACGCCTTGGTGAAATCCATCTAATACATTTAGTAAAACTTACTTCTATCCCCGCGGCAACGGGTACGCTAGTTAAGTATAAAGATTCAGCATATTTGGGTACACAGTTCGATATTTTCGTTAAATCTCTTTATATTGTAAAAAACAAAAAAAAAAAAAAATTCACCTCGTATCTCATAAATGCCATAAAAGCCTTTGTCTTTGTAGGAGCTCTTCGTTTTTAACACAACAAACATGGAGTTTTCCGTTGTAGCCATTAACCCTGGTGGAATTGACGAGCACGAATTTCCAAACATAGGTGAAAATGTTGCGGGTCCGTCATATATACTAAGGTAACCATACTGGCAATTTGCCCTTAAGTCTGAAATACTGGGAAATGCAAATTTTATTGTAATTTAAACCTGCTATAATTTTGATCGAACTTACACTTGCAAATCATTTTATTCTCAAATATTTGGCACATACAACATACGGAGCTTAAGCTTATAAAAGATAAAGCTTTATAAAATAACAACTTACTTGAGGACAATATAACTGTCAGCTTTGCCCTGTATAGTCCAGGTGTACATCATGTTGTCAAGTTTGCTAAATGGATATCCCGGGCTGGAGATGTTACCTTGAGACTCGTTCAGTATAATGTGGTTATCTGTGGTTGTCACATTTAACTTATGTCAGTTATTTGAACAATTTTAAAGACTTATCGTTTAATGGAATTCCAATAGATAATATTTTATAATTGTGGTGAAGTAAAACACGTATTTTCAATATACATAAAAATAATCTAAAACGTTCTTTAAAATGAAAGTCATTTTCAAATCACATTAGAGCAGAAAGTATACAGCATCCACAGAAATCATCTAGTTCAAAGCGATTCTATTACATATTTTAAACGACCAACGTTATTTCGTTAATCTTTATGAGGCTCTGTTTTTATTCCTAAAATATAATCCTGACCATTTGATTATACTAATATGTAGGCCACATGGAGACGATTAAGGTTGAGTTCATTGATCGTCTTTATTTTCAACAAAAATGCAAACTATACAAATAAAACAGTAAAGAATATTACTATACTTTGTTTTAGAGCAGCCACTTGCAAGTGTATAGTTTAAATAAGGTAAACTCATAAAAACCTCTCATTTTGGAAAAAAAATTATATTTTTACCATTCGTAAGAAATTGACAGGATTTATTCTTATTGTCAATAATGAAATTTAAAACCAAGAAGAAAAACAACATCTTATAAGAGATAATTGGTTTATTCGACCGGATGATTTAATTATTCAGTTTTTTTTATAAGAAAGAGCAGAATTGTTTTTCTTGCTACCGGAGTCTGTCTATTGGTATTATTAACTGTCTTTCTGAGGGTATGTCTAACTAAACCTGTTTTTCCAGCTTTAGTTTTCTTTTCTGATGTTATTTTTTTTATATTCTCGTGAGTGAAGTATAAATATGTCAAATATTTTGTTTTAAGTTTTATATGTGTGCCTTGATTATTAGATGCTTTTTGTGATAATTCAGCATTGGCTTCAGTACGTTAATATAATTTGTTCCCTGAATATCTACATTCTTGGTCGGTAACACCATCATTAGTAAATATAATGAAGGTGTCAACTCCAAAATGAAAGTATTCAGGCTTTTGAGTTTATATAATGTGCTCCAATCCGTCATTTTCCAGTATCGAGTCAGGGAGAAGTAATAATATTAAATGCTAAATTAAATACACTTACTAAACCTTATGTTTTATTGTTGTTTTTTATTGTTTGTCTTTGGTTATCACTTGGATTGTTGGAGTTGTGGTATAGTTTGGCGATCAAAGAAATAAATGTGTAGGGGATTCTAAAGTGCTTCATAGTTTTCCATACTAATGACCTGTCTATAGGCCTGCTGTGACAAGCAAGTTTTAAAATCTATAATAAGTGCGTGTAGAAATACAAAAAAATTACCGTGTGAATAGAACTCTCCATAAAATCCTCTGTATGTTTCAGAGCTGTCTGTTTTAAAGGTGACCAACAGTTTGTTTGTTGTCGATACAATCAGTTCTGAGACTCCCCTACCACAGACTTTCATAGAACTTCGAGCATTTTTAGTAGCTCCGTCGTACACGGTGATATAGTCAGTGTCACAAGACTGTGTTTCCACAAACGATAGACTATAAGAAAAATAAGTGTTAATTAGTACTAAGGTTTTTCTACAATGTCACTTACATATTTGATTCCACATTAATATATGGTCAATGAGATATGAACCTACTTTAAAATGAGACGGGTATCAGCACGTGCTGATAGATTCCATGTAAATTCCTGATTATTCAAATATCGTAAGGGATATCCAGGACTTGCCAAGTTGCCTACTTCACATAGTGTAGAGTGTCTCTCTGTTTTATTCGATGGAATTAAATCAGTTTAATGACAAGACAAAAATACAATCTGAATACAATTTACATTGACTATGCTTGCAATGGTTGTACATACTTGGTATGATCTAACATAAATTACATAACTTACATCTGCTTTACCGATGGAAATCCCAACCACCGATTTGAATACACAAATAGATGTCATATTTTCAACAACTTCAGTCGTTGTAAGAGTGTATGAAACGTTTTTCTCTTACCATAAGCCTGTATATTTTATATTCAAAGACAATAAACTTTCTTATCAAAAGAAAATAACGGATTCTATCACCATGGTCGCTCTTCCAAAAATAGTAAGGCGAATTGAAGATGAAATAAGACCACCATTCCACACATTTTCTGATAAATACGCTATTAATACCTGCAAGGACCTTAAATCAAGAGAAATGTGTGCTCCATCAGCTTCTAAACTAAACATTTCTGTCGACAAATAGTGTTCAAGCTCTGACATGCGTATCAAACTTTTAAGGTCTGTTTCTTCAGGTACAAACTATTCTAAACTATTTTGATAGCAACAGACGTAACACATCTGAAACTGATCTCTATAGTGCTAGTTTTGATATTAAACATAAAACATTAAAAAAACTTATTAAGTGTAATAAGTCCTTGCGAGGTACAAACCCAGCGTGAAATCATTCGCCTAAGGACTCACGCTACAGCAGAATATGACCCATCACTGGCAGCAGATGATGTTAAGGGATACTACAGGAAAGGAATATGCCATGGTTTTTTAACTCATTTCTTCGTATGTGATACACGAGCCGACGGTAACTGTTTTATTAACGCGTTGTCTCTCTGCATGTTTTAATCGGAAGCACAGTGTGAGGGTACGGGTGAATTGGATGGATCTTCTCGCCACCAGTTGTAAGGGGAATAAATAGAAACCACCGCCAAATGTGAGAGTGGGGTTGTGAAGATAAAAAGATCCAACAGACAAGTTCAAGTTCAAAATAAAAAGTTCTTTATGCAAATTTGTACCGAATCACCTTCATACCCAGTGTCGTAGGCAGGGGAGGGGGGTGGGTGCAAATCGAAAGTTTGAGTGAGGGGGGTGCAAATCGAAAGTTTGTCACCGGGTGAAAATTGGAACCCCCGCTCTTGAGACGATCCTGGCTACGCCACTGTTCATACCTACTAATCTACACTGTACTACTATCACTTCTACTTAACTGTTCACTGTACTAATAACTGCGCACTCCCATGACCAATCCTACCACACGTCCTAAGTGTTCCCTATCTCTATATAATTGCTACCGTATCTAACCGATACCTAACATTATCTGCTTTATTCGCTAGCTACCTATAAACTCCTGGTCTAAAAGCAGCCAACGCTTCAGTGGTCTGCTTACCGTCCAACGTGACCGGTCAGCTCTTGTACTTTCTTTTTCCCTCTAACCAATTCGCTATAGTCTGTTTCTGCTAACCTCTATCTACTTGACCTGACGGATGTAATATTGAGTCATCACACACAGGCACAGAACGTTCGCTTGCTCATAGCATCATACCTGCTGCTTAATCTGACAGTACATGAAAAGTTTATCCAGATGACTCAAGGAGAATTCTCTCAAAGGTTGGATTATCTTTATGTGTGCTTCAAGAACTACATCTGGGCCGGCGACGTCCAAGCATATGCTGCTTTCTTTGTTTTTGACCGATCCATTATTAGTATAGATGGTCTTGACAAGCATTTCAACCAGTTCACAGAAATCCAACATTTATCTCCAAAATAGTTATTACAGTGGCTCTCTCAAGCCACCTAGAGAAGCTCAGAAGTGGTTGAAACAGATTAATCCAAAAGAAACGGGTGAGAGCCCTTATACATTCTTCATCAGGTGAATCACTTCATGGCCATGCTACCACGAACTGACTCAGTCGCAGACCTTCTGTACCTTTCCCCAGCGGTTGTCAATCTAAACAACATTCCCATTGAAGAATATAGAATACAACGGATTTGTCACAGAAGTTTATATTTCTCAAAGAGCCTAGACCACAAGATTATTGCTATATATTATATAAGATTATACGAGAAAATTTAGGGAAGGTCACTCCTGGTTTATTTTCTACGTGTTAAAGAAATAAATCCTGTTGATTGTTGTCACTTCAGAAGTTTCTTTCAGGCATCTCTTCGGTTGGGGGGGGGGGGGGGGCTGAGCCATTAATAAGGAAGTTCACCGCCCCCTCCCCAAAGCGAAATGGAGTTTATTTAGAAAAAAATATACTTTTAACAGTGTCCTCTCCCGGAAATTTTATTCCGCCCCAAGAAAAATATCAATTGCTCCCTCTGTGAGAAAAAATTCTGTAAGACACTGCACTTTACCAAATAGCGCAATCCTGTGAGCACAACCATTAAGACATGTTTCCCCCCACCCCCCACTTCCCACATCTCCAATCCTTTATATTTTAACACTTGAACATCTATTAGAATGCATTAGACACATTAGAAATATCAGAGGAATCAACCTACCAAATAAAAGATAAACAAATTTCTAGCGCTCGATTTACCCTCCAAACTAAAAAAAATATCTTACTCTAATAACGGATACTTTCATTGACTAGCGAGGCAAAAATTAACCAAAAGAAAACCTACATCATGGAACTTGTCCGATGGACCAACAAACAAATTACCTACTAAATCTGAAAGGTAAAAAAAAGGTAAAAGTTGACGCATAACCCACTAGAACAACCCACATGACACTAACGATGCCGAACGGGAACAAGTCTCCATCAAAATAAAAAAAATACCACAGCACTCTACAAGTTTAGCTCAACAACAATTGTTGCTAGGTAAGCTATAATGAATTTTATTGGTGTACGACAAATTCCCGAAAGACACTTACCCGAATGCTGTTTGACCGAAAACCGATTTCCCGAATGGAAGGAAGTGGCAGATTTACAGGAATTCCTTTATTTCGACTGAGAAGGGTTATATTTAAGATAGAGATCGGCAGTCAACAGAACGTACACGCTGTCAAATTTTAGCCAATATTTATCGAAACGATGTGAGTTAAGCAGTTGCAAATGGCAAATAAAATGCGACAAATACTAATAGCAATTGACCCAATTTAAAAGTAATAATAATATTTAATTGGAATATTTATTTAATAATTAGATCTAGAATTTAGCTCTAAATATAATCATGTTGTAAACGAAATTAGATTTGGTTTGGGTTAAGAGTGGCCGGCTCCAGTAGGTAGACGCAGAATCAAGAATATACTTATTTATTTAAATTTTATTACAAAATATAGTTCTATATTAGATTCAAAATACAAAATAATAAATTAAAATAGGCCTATTAATAAAATATGTAATTGCCTCTAAGATCTAGAATGTAGATCTAGATTGTAATCATTTTATTTAGCAAACGAAATTATATGAAATTGAAACAGAATGTAAGACTAGAACCATATCGAGAATCTGCTACTAAAGCTAGATTTTAAAAGTTTATAATATTAAGCACTTGATATTTTTGTTGTTGAAGACGTTAATAAATCACGTAGGCCTACCTAGTATATGTCTAATTACAGTAATATGTATCTGATACAGGTTGTGTTTGAAATATGCTCTACGATACACAACTGACATCTTCAGCAACCTTCACCGTAAAACCATCACACCCAAAGCTAAGTAAATAACAAAAATTTGTGGGAAAAAAGATTTGACATAAAATAATGTCACCAAACAATTATAAAGGACGGATTTAGAAGACAAACTATATGGACACGTAGAAACCGAGCCAAATATGACAATACACAGTTCACTGGGTAGGTACTAGATTTGATTTATAACAGTCGACTTGGCATATACAACACATTAATACACATGCTATACATAGTAACACCTCAGCATGTTGATCACATGGAACTGCACTTGACGAATGGCTCGCCTTAAACCGACACATTCACTCCCTTTACGGATCACCAATCATTATGACACACAGCCTCTGCCTCATGACCCCCCATCCCCTAAACCCCCATTTCCCTTTCCCTGCTCCAACGATCTCATTACAACACCAATCACCCCTTTGCAAGTGTCGAATCCGGTTTTTGACAATTCGAAACCTGCAACAAACCAACTTACACGCTATAAATAGAACACTACTATAGTTAGGACACGCATCATTGAGTTCGATGCCTGTCACGCCTAACCGAAAACAAATTGTTTATTCCCCATCCTACCTTAAGCTGCAAAAACCTAACCTGAATACAACCATAAGATTACTACGTTTGCAATGTCTAGTGTTGTAACACTAATATAGTATGTACTGAAGATGAGTTATTACCAATAAAATAAAGACTAATGTTTATCATGTGATTCAATATTTACTAAAAATACGTCATAATAATCCCCTATTTCTAAATGTTTAAAACTCATGCAATAACACGCCCTCTCATTTCATTTAAAATAACATGCTTTAACCCCAACTTGATTAACTCCGTCACTATAACCCAACTTTTTACCATTTCTCATTTCCCCCTTCCCCTTATATATATATATATATATATATATATATATATATATATATATATATATGGACACGTAGAAACGTATATATATATATATATATATATATATATATATATATATATATATATGTTGACCTCTCTCGTTGTTTGACGAGTTAAATCCCACTGCGCACCATCGGTTGCAACACTTTAAATACCTTAACCCGTATTTCGGTTTATCCCTTTGAATTTGTATCACCATATCTACGACATATCAAATTCACCATGTACTTTTTTAGAATCTTTCGTTTTTTATTTGATGTATAAACCTGTGTAAAATACATTGGTGTTGATGTCTTTTTTTTTAAATGGCACAAAAAAAGGAGTTTTCAAGTTAAAAAACAAAAACAATTAATGCACACAATACTGTGTTAAAAAGTTAATCAAAAGCTAATGCAATTTGTTTTTTAAATTTTATAGTCGACTATACTATTTTCAAATACTAACCATATTTTGCCATTAGATATTTTGTCTGAGATCGATTGTCCATAAAATCATTTGTCCTGGTGTATTTGTATACATATATCATTTGTCTGTGAGCTCATTTGTACTTAAATATTAAGTTCTGAGATAATTTGTCCCAGAGTTATTTTCTAATTGATATTTTGTCTGACATAAAGTGTCCTGAGATAATTTGTCTAATATATAAAGCTCAAACGGATTCAATGTCTCTGAATGTATTTGACAGCGAAATGACCCAGGGCAAGACATGCATATAGTAAAAATCTCCACTTGTTCTCAATAGTGTAATATTCTTAAGCGTTTATTATCTAAATTAATGATTAAAAAATTAATAAGGATAATTTTGTAAAAATAATTTCCAAACGTATGATTTTAACTTACGTCATGAGGAATAAATAAATACAAAGAAAATGTAGGCCTACCATTCTTCACAAACATTTTAAAAACGTACACATTACTTCGTTTTGATTCTTTATTGCCAAATACTTTTCGTGATAGACAACCAAAACCAAATATTACTTTAAAAAAAAACATCTGTAAGGGACAAAAACAAAACAAACAAAAATTATTTGGTTCTTTTTTTTTTAATTGGTATTTTAGACTGTGTAGTTTTTCTTTCATTTTTTTTTATTTAATTACGCATGAGTAGGATTGTAAAAATAAAGAGATTAGAGCTATTAATGCTAAGGTCGAATTTTCGCAAACCAATTCCTGTTGCTAAATGTTGAATAATGTATACATTTTAAAAATGGATTTTCAACGAAATCCCTATTTCATTCAAATATGCACACAAAAAACGTTTTGTTTTATAGCTAATTCGACTCTCAATTATATTTTGAATAGAGGTTTGCACTAACTTTTACAAAAATACCTACGGGCATTCAGCTAATTGGGCAATAGACCTGCGTGCTAGTTTATTAAGAAAAAAATTATCGCATTCAGGAAAATTCTTTTTAAAAAACAAAGCAATCGTAAAAATTACTTTCAAGCTTTTATCGAATAATCGCATTACTAATTTATATATACAAATCTAACACTGACTGTGTGAATAAAACTCTCCATAAAATCCTCTGTACGTTGTAAAAGTAACCAACAGTTTGTTTGTTGACGATACAATGACTTCTGAGACTCCCCCTACCACAAATTCGGTCAAACCTTCAAGCATTCCTAGTATCTCTGTCGTACACGGTGATATAGTCTGTGTCACAACACTTGGTTTCCACAAATGATATGCTACAGGCAAAATTAAGTTTTGAGAATAAGGAGATAATGTACACTGTCACAGATTAAATCCGTGATAAGTTTTCATAAGATAATGTTATCAAGACCCACTTTAGAAATATATGTTTTGAAGCGAAAGATGCTAGTGTCCATGACAATTCTTGACAATTCAAATATTTTAAGGGATATTTAGGACTTGCCAAGTTGCCTGATTCATTAAGTGTACAGTTTCTCTCAGTTTTACATATTATTGGGAAGTATTAGAAATTTTGGGTTAATGTGAGAGCACTAATGTAATTTACGTATTCTAATTAAACAATATGCGTGCCAATTTATTTTTCGTTAAAAATTGAGACTTGCATTTAGCCATTAAATTTTTTTTAGGCCATTGTCATTTTAATTATGTTAATACATCCAATAAATAATAATAATAATAATACAGTATTAATAGATAATAAAGAATTAACGCATTTAGGTACACTGCTTGATATCAATCAACAATATTTCAACAGGAAATTTGTTTTAAAAATAAAACCTAACGTTAAATAAAACGGTAAACGAATAAATAGTTTTAAAATATATTTTCGTTAAATCAACAACAAAAAATTTACCTCTTATCTCATAATTTCCATAAAAGCCTTTGCATTTGTAGGAACTATTAGTTTTCAACACAACAAACATGGAGTTTCCCGTTGAAGCCATTAACCCTGGTGGTACTGACGAGCAAAAATTTCCAAACATCGGTGAAAATGTTGTGGGTCCGTCATATATTCTTAGGTAACCATACTGGCAATTTGCCCCTAAGTCTGAAATACTGGAAAAGGCGAAATCGAATGTAATTTTAAGCTGTTATGATTAAATAGAACTAACACTTGCAAACCCTTTTATTCTCAAATATTGGGCACATACTAACATACGGGGCTTTAGTTTACAAAAGGTAAATCTTAAAACAACGGCAACTTACTTGAGGACGATATAACTGTCAACTTTGCCCTGTATAGTCCAGGTGTACATCATGTTGTCAAGTTTGCCAAATGGATATCCCGGGCTGGAGATATTACCTTGAGACTCGTTCAGTATGATGTGGTTATCTGTGGTGTTCACATTTAACTTATGTCAGTTATTCAAACAGTTTTAAAGACTTATAGTTTGATTAATTTCTGATAGATATTTTATTGTATTGATGAAATAAAAAATGTATTTTAAATATAAATTACAACAATAGAAAACTATATTTAATATGAAAATCATGTTCAAATCATATTAGAGAATAAACTATACAAGGTCCTAAAAATTTATATCTATGTCTAAACGATCTCATTATATATTAGATCAAGTCATAATGTTTTTAAAAATTTAAAATGTTTTTTAGGTTTTGGGTTTGCTTTTTCAGAACAGTCTTTATATACCACAGTATTTTTAACAATATTTTAACGATCTAGGTCAGGGGTCTCCAAACAACGGCCCGCGGGCTGATGCGGTCCGCGGAGATCTTTTTGTCAACGAAAAAAAAAATGTTTGTTGGAGGTGGCTGGGGAAAAATAAAAATGAAAATGTAGCATTGGGTGCAAAAGTACCATTGTCAACCGTGTTGCAGACATTGATAAAGTCATCGTGAATCAAATAGCGAAAAATTCAAGAGAGTTTCGACATTTTTCAATTGCAACTTAAGAGTCTCTGGACAGATGTTCAACCTCTCAACTGCTTGTGTTCATTAGAGGTGTGGATGAAGATGAGAAAATAACACAAGAGCTGGCTTCCCTACATAACATGTAGGGCACTGTTACCGGACAGGATATATTCAATGAATTTTTTAAAATGCTGATTATAATTTGGCCTGGACTAACTTCTGTTACCTAACTGTTGAAGGAGGAAAGTACATGAGTGTAATAAAGAAAGACTTGGATTGACTAGCGAGTGGGAAAAACATTCTACAACCAATGTTCCTGCACTATATTATTCACCAGCATGTGTACATTAGCAGTGTACTGAATCTTGTCTTGAAGATGGTGAAATTAATAAGGTCACATGGGCTCATCCATAGACAGTTCAGAAACATGTTGAAAGATACAAACAGATAATCGCAAGAATTACCATATTTCACAGCAGTAAGATAGCTAAGTTGTAGCTAAGTGATAGTTCTGAGCAGAGTATTGAAATGTATATATATATATATATATATATATATATATATATATATATATATATATATATATATATATATATATATATATATATATATAAATTTAATATCGTTGGGAGGGGGAACACGGTATACGTTCTTCGGGGGTTGGGGTGGGGGGGGGGAGGGATCTGCCATCCCGAAGATATGCCCGGAAGACACTTTGGCCCCCGAACTAATATTTGTTAGTTAATGCGGCCCTCTGGCTGAAAAGTTTGGAGACCCCTGATCTAGGTTGTTCGACGTGTTATGATATTTATGATACATTTACTATACAATTATTGCTTTTTGTTCGATTTATCTTGTTATGTCAGGATCAGTTTACACAAATGTAAGGCAAAAAGTACGTGGACAAAAAGTCGAATATTTAAAAAACATTGATTTTATTTGAATTTGAAACTCTGTTTTTAAAGGACAAAAACAAAACAAACGAAAATGATTTGGTTGTTTTTTTAAAATGGCATTTTAGACGTTTTTTTTTTTCTTTCATATTTTTTTACTTAAATTACACATGAGTAGGATTGTAAAATTAAAAAGCTTAGAGCTATTAGTGCAAATTGCGAATTTTCGAGAAGCAATTCCTTTTGCTAAATGTCGGAAAATATACACATTTCAAAGATGGATATTTAATGTCCTTGTGGTTGTCACATTTAACTTATGTCAGTTGTTTGAACAATTTTAAAGACGTATTGTTTAATAAAATCTCAATAAATAACATTTCATAAGATTGATGAAGTAAAAATGAATTTTAAATTTATATTACAATCATCTAAAAGTATATTTAAAATTAAAATCATATTAAAATCACATTAGACTAAAAACTATATAGCATCCAAAGAATGAAAGAATTAATATCTTATTCTAAGCGATTGTATTATATATTTTACTCAATCTAATACTTTAAAAAAACTTTTTTGTAAAGCTTTGTTTTTATAGCAATGTACTGTTGTCATATTTTATTAATTAATGCCATTTATGAATGCCAGGTTTGATATTAATACAATTTTGTAGACATGTAATTCCAATAAAATTACAACAGGAATAAATATTTAATTTCAAATTTACTTTACAACTATTAAGTTAGAGCTAAATAGAAAATTATAAAATTTAATAACTTGAAATAATAAAATTATTAACTGGCTGTCAGTCTTCCAGCGATCAGGTGAAAGAAGCGGTTGTACATTCGTCCATCCTTCAAACTAACAGACATTATTCTTTCATTTTAGTTTAAAATTGAATCTAATACTTTTCAAATGATAATCAACATTAGATTTCTGGATAACGTAATTTTTTTAGATACAGCATGGGACACATGTGTCCCTATTTTCCAGAAGGGAACAATTATCGATTACAGGCTGGGTTATGAATAATATCAATATTTTTTTAAAGTCAAAATGGTTTATGGTTGCTCTGTTTAATTAAAAATAAAAACATCATGTAATGAGAACACACTTATGTCCCTTATGAGTGTATAGGCATCTAAGAATTGAGCTTCTCGAAGCATTTGTATGATGTTCTATAACATACATGAACGTTTCAGACCACGCTGTTCGTTCTGTTCTTATATACAGGCCCCTCTTACTTATCAGACCTATTTGCTTTTAACACAAAATTAAATCGTCGTCTTAATTTATTGATCCCATACACAACTTTTTTCCAAAAAATAAGTTCTCCTACTCTGGTTCTATTTTTTGAAACAATCTTCCTAATGCAATAAAACTATCTAGATCTGAAAATATATTCAAAACTTAATCTGTTTGAGAGTTTTAAAATCATCTATAATCGCTCCCTATAAGGGGGATAGCTAGTGTGCGTCGTGTATTTTATGCGCGATGTGTTTTAGAAGTCTTATTCAAGTTTATGTGTATTTAGAAAAATTACTACAGGGCCGCAGGATTTATGCGATGTATGCAAAACAATTCACCAGAAAAAAGATGTAGGCCTTATGTAGTAGTGACAATAGTTACATTATAACTTCCACATAGATTTTCATCTATAAAACTCTTCATTAAGAACAAATTATTATCAAATTGTTATCATTGTCATTATTGTCTATAAACAGAATTTGCTCAATTTTTTTTCAATGATAGAAAATAAAGGCTCTGCGACTACTTCTATTAAAAACATTTACATTAGCGATACCTATTTAAAAATTGGTTCCTTTCAGGAACATATGGACCATATGGCCATAATATCCAAAGCAACACATTTATTCTTGTCGAAAACACATGTCAATATAATACCAAAATTGTAAATCGTTGTACCCGGGCGCCGACCTTAGGGGGTGGCGCCAAATTGAAAGTGTGAGAGGGGGGGGGTGCAAAAAGTTCGAGGGGGGTGCAAATCGAAAATTTGAGGGGTGGGGGTGCAAATGAAAAGTTCGAGGGGGGGGGGGGCAGAGGCGTAGCGAGGGGGGGGGGGCGGGGGGGGACATATGTCCCCGGGCGCCGACCTTAGGGGGGGCGCCAAATCGAAAGTTTGAGGGGGGGGTGCAAATGAAAAGTTCGAGGGGGGGGTGCAAATTGAAAGTTTGAGGGGGGGGGGGTGCAAATCGAAAATTTGCTCCCGAGGGGGGCGCCAAATTGAAAGTATGTCCCCGGGCGCCGGGAAGGGTCGCTACGCCTCTGGGGGGGGTGCAAATCGAACATTTGCTCCCGAGGGGCGCGCCGAATTGAAAGTATTTCCCGGGCGCCGGGAAGGGTCGCTACGCCTCAGCAAAGGAGCGGCGTTTTTTGACAACACTAATCGAAGTGATTTTATAGGATGTGTTTCTTAATTGTTCAAGTCGGTTAAACTCATGACTGTTGAGGCTCCATAAACGGAGGACAGCCACTCATCTAGAAGTAACAACTGAAACATCAAACTGCTGCTGCTTTTTAGTTTGTTCTTAGATGGACAAAGGCTATGGAAGTAAATAAAAAACCAAAAGCAGGCTAAAATCAAAGTCATTGGCCTATACAAAGCATAATAAATCGACAAGTACTTAATTGTGTTGGAGAGAATCCCACTTAATATTAGAATCTACAACGAAAAAGAAGAAGCTTTTTGATAAATATCATAACCATTGGAAAGAAAAAAAATTAACACATGTAAATATATTACTAAAAAATTAAATTTCATCAACAATTTTATTGTTAAGAAACACAATTGCTTGTAAAAAAAGGTATGTATTTAAACAAGGTAGAAATCGTCTTTTACTATCATACAATATTTATAGTCTGCATACTTTGTATCATGAAGAAATAAATACCCTTAGTAAGAATTTATACCAGCAAAGTAACATGTTTTTAGTCACATGGATGGTTATTTGAGGGGATATTGTTAAAACCAGGATTTAGATTTCAATGTACTCAAAAATTTTAGACTATTTTTTTACGCTCAGGCCACGACAACACAACCTTCTTAATTTCTCGTTAGGGCGATCTCACTCATGACGTATTTTGTCTTAAATTACACTGTGAATTCCACACCAGAGTCTGTCTATTGGTATTATTAACTGTCTTTCTGAGGGTATCTCTACCAGTCTGCCTATTGGTATTATTAACTGTCTTTCTGAGGGTATCTCTAACTGAACCTGTTTTCCCGACTTAAGTTTTCTTCTCCGATGTTATTTTTTTTTATATTCTCATGAGTGAATTTTAAACATGTCAAATATTGTTTAAAGTTTTATATGTGTGCCAAGATTATTAGTTGCTTTTTGTGATAATTCCGCATTTGCTTCTGTACATTAATATAATTTCTTCCTTGAATGTCTACATTCTTGGTTGATAACACCATTATTAGTAAATAGAATTAAGGTATCATCTCCGAAATTAAACTATTCAGGTATTTTGAGTTTATATATCGTTCCAATCCGTTATTTTCCAGTATCGAGTCAGGGAGAAGTAATAATATTAAATGTAAAATCAAATACCTATACTAAACCTAATGTTTATTACTGTTTTTGATTGTTAGTCTTTGGTTATCACTTGGATTGTTGGAGTTGTGGTATAGTTTGGCGATCAAAGAAATAAATGTGTAGGGGATTCTATAGTGCTTCATAGTTTTCCATACTAATGACCTGTCTATAGGCCTGCTGTGACAAGCAGTTTTTTAAATCTATAACAGGTGCATGTAGAAATACAAAAAATTACCGTGTGAATAGAACTCTCCATAAAATCCTCTGTACCTATCACTGCCATCTGTTTCAAAGGTGACAAAAAGGTTGTTTGTTGTCGATACAATTAGTCCTGAGACTCCCGTACCACACATTTTGTTAAAACTTGGAGCATTTTTAGTAGCTCCGTCGTACACGGTGATATAGTCTGTGTCACAAGACTCTGTTTCCACAAACGATAGACTATAAGAAAAATAAGTGTTAATTAGTACTAAGGTTTTTCTACAATGTCACTTACATATTCTATTCCACCTTAATGTATAGTCAATGAGATATGAACCTACTTTAAAATGAGACGGGTATCAGTACGTGTTGATAGATTCCATGTATATTCCTGATTATTCAAATATCTTAAGGGATATCCTGGACTTGCCAACTTGCCTACTTCATATAGTGTAGAGTGTTTGCCTGTTTTATTCGATGGAATAAAATCAATTTAATAACAAGACAAAAATAAAATATGAATACAATGCATATTAACTTTGCTTGTAATGTTTGTACATATTTGGTATGATAACTTTCCTCCTAATTGGATACCATTGAGTGTACAGAAATATATTTAGTCTAACAGAAGACTATAAAACATTTGGCAACGTAAATTTTATAGCTATTTTATTATGACATCATGCTATGTAACGTAAACTATGCACAACGATCGGTTATATTGAAAGGAAAAGACATGATAATTTTAAAAACTATTTTAAGTTGTAAATACGTAAAACATGAAAAACAAGAATTGAAAAAAATACTTTCAGCTGTGCATGCTGTCACTTTTTGAAGCTAATTATAAACATAAAATGGCTTCGTATATAGAAGGTCTAATCGCTAAGACTTCATTCTACACAGATCTAAGAGAAATTGTGGGTCTTGCAAGAACGATAGCTTTTTGTAGACAAACTATTGGACACGTAAAAACCGAGCCAGATAAGACAATACACAGTTCACAGAGCAGATACAAGATTTAATTTATAACAGTCGACGTGACAAATACAACACTTTAATACACACGCTATACATAGTAACACCTCAGCATATAGAGCACATGGCACTGCTCTTGACGCCTAACTCGCCTGAAACCCACGCATTCTCTCCCTTCACGCCTCACCAACCATTATAACCCAACACCTCTGCCCCATGACCCTCATCCCCTAAACCCTCATGACCCTTTCCCTGCTCCAACGATCTCATTACAACTCCAATCACCCCATTACTACTGCCGAATCTAGTTTTTGGCGACTTAAAACGTGCAACACACCAACTCACACGATATAAATAGAACACTACTGTAATTAGGACACGCATCATTGAGATTATGGCTGGCACGAATTACCGAAAACAAAATGTTCAATCACCATCTAAAATTTAGCTTCAAATACCAAACCTGAATACAACCATAAGATTACTACGTTTGCAATGTCTTGTGTTGTAACACTATATTATGTACTGATGATGAGTTATTACCAATACAAATAAAGAATTAGGTTTATCATATGTTTGATGTATTTACTAAAATACGTCTCAACAACCCCTTATTTCTAAAGTTTTTAATACCCAGGCAATAACACACACTTTCATTTTATTTAAAATCACATGCTTTAACCCCAACTCCTTTTGATCAACTCTGTCCCAATGACCCAACACCTCACCTTTTTTTCCTCGTTTTCCACTTCCATTTATATATATATATATATATATATATATATATATATATATATATATATATATATATATATATATATATATATATATATATATATAAGTAACCCTTTCGCTGTTTGACGAGTTCATTCCGACTGCACACACTTTCATATACCTTAACCCCTATTTTGGTTTTTCCCTTTCAATTTGTATCAACACATTTACGACATATCAATATTCACCATATACTTGTTTAGAATCTTTCGTTTTTATTGATATTAGAAATTATGTAAAATTTATTGATCTTGTTTTTTTTAAATGGCACATAATAGTTTTTAAATAAAAAACAAAAACAAATGATGCACACAATATTGTGTAAAAAAAAAGTTAATTGAAAGCTAATGCATTTTTTTAATTTTTTAAATCGACTATAATAATCTCAAATACTATTTTCAAATACATATTTTGCCATGAGATATATTTTCTGAGATCGATTGACTATGAAATCATTTGTCCTGGTGTATCTTGTATAAATATATCTTTTGTCCGTGAGATCATTTGTACTTAAATATTAAGTTCTGAGATAATTTGTCCCAGAGTTATTATGTAATGGATATTTTGTCTGACATAAATTGTCATGAGATAATTTGTCCAATATATAGAGCTCAAACGGATTCAATGTCTCTGAATGTATGTGACAGCGACTTAACCCGAGGCAAGACATGCATATAGTAAAAATCTTCACTTGTTCTCAATAGTGTTATATTGCGTTTATTATCTAAATTAATGATTAAAAAATTAATAAGGATCGTTTTGTAAAAAAAATAATTTCCAAACGTATGATTTTAACTTACGTCACGAGGAATACATAAATATAAAGAAAATGTAGGCCTACCATTCTTCACAAACATTTTAAAAATGTACAAATTACTTCGCTTTGTCTCTTTATTGCCAAATACTTTTCCTGATAGATCACCAAAAACAAATATTACTTCCATTTTAAAAAAGAACATTACATCGCGGAAAGAACTTGTGTTTTTTTTTTATTTTTTATGGTGTTAAAATTAAAAGAATTATATAATTAGCAGGGATTGATAATGTGAAATGTTGTAGGTTAAATACGGATATTTTAAATACTGCATTTAATTTATTTTATACACTGAACATACTGTTGACTAGTTTTTCTTTAAAATCAAGTTCAGTTTAGAAGCCGGTCTTAAATTTCTATATTTCAGTTAGCGGAGAGACTATGGTTTTATATTCGTTCATTAAGTTGTATCAGGGTTCAATTTGGCGCCCAGGATTATTCCGTGAGTACTATGGTGTGCATACTTTCGTTTCAAACAATGCGATAGACTAAGGATAAGAAAGGCTACTAAGTCTTAAACTAAATTGAATCCGAATTTTCACAGAGGCCAGTGCAGGGCCTGGCCGGTGTGATGGGGGGGGGGGGGTTATTGTATACGTTCTACTATATGAATCTATATGGTGACCAATCCTATAACTGACTCTTCAACTAAATACATGTGAGGAGGACGGAAACATTCTTATTTTTCGACGAAGCTAATTAACGATATCAACAACTTCGATCATAAAATAGAATTAACTTTATTGTCAAACACTAATACTAAACAATTTAAAAACACGTACTTTTCTTACATTGGCTAACCCCCATCTGTCTTCACTCCTGCGTCCTACGTCATCGATAACATTGTCACGTCACGCTCACTTCACACTCACCCCAAAAATATTTTTTTAAGCACACGCACATACTCTGGAACCAAATTGTCTACCGTCAAGTTTACACCGTCCTTAGTAGTTCTACCAGTCTAGTCTTACTCTATCTATCTATGCTATGACGGCCGGGATGACTAGTTTATATATATATATATATATATATATATATATATATATATATATATATATATATATATATATATATATATATATATATATATATATATATATATATATATATATATATACATACATATATATATAACTCATTGTTTTAAGCCTGCATAGAACTATTCATAACATAATGTTGTGTCGATAATTCTCATTGTAATATATAAAAAAATTACCTCTTATCTCATAAGTTCCATTAAAGCGTTGTGTGGGGTCTTTTAACAAAATAAACATAGAATTTCCTGTTGATGCCATTAAACCAGGTTTTACTGGCAGACTCCCAAACATCGGTGAAAATGTTGTCGTTCCGTCATATATTCTTATGAAGTCGTTCTGCCTGTTATCCCCTAATTTAAAGTCTGAAATACTGTAACAGAGATAACGTTTAGTATTTTTGGCGTGATCACATGTTGGCGAAAGTTACACTTACAAATATTTGTACCAGGTTTACATTATTGGTTTTAGTTTAGTGGTGTGAATAACAAAAAGATCTTCCCCCAATATTTTTTTTCAGATCCCCTTTAAATTAATATATATATATATATATATATATATATATATATATATATATATATATATATATATATATATATATATATATATATATATATATATATATATATATATATATGTATATATATATATATATATATATATATATATATATATATATATATATATATATATATCTATATATATATATATATATATATATATATATATATATATATATATACATATATATATATATATATATATAAATATACATGTATATATATATATATATATATATATTACATTTTTTTCTTTTGACAGCCATCTGCTATGTCTGTCTCATGGTCTGACGGCCCTTTTGATCCATGTCGCCTTGCATATAGAATGCTATACAAACAAGAGCTAAACAATACGTTACTCACAATGAAACCGCACCCAGAATAATGAAAACGCAATCACAACTTAGTCTAGATAGAACATTGGCCAGGACATCCCGGCCAATGCGCGCATTGGCCGGCCAATGTACAAAATACGCTGTCAAGTTTAAGCACTTCGGACTTTGGCCAGTACGTCCCGGCCAGTGCGCGCAATGGCCGGCCAATGTACGAAATACGATCTTAGTTCTATGTTCTTCGGGCTTTGGCCAAGAGAGCCGGCCAATCCGCGCATTGGCCGGCCAATCCGGGGTTTGGCCGCACTTCGGGCTTTGACCGTAACATATATATATATATATAAATATACATAATCGGTGACAGGGCAAATGATCTCAGTACAAATGATCTCTGGACAAATGATCTCTGGACATGTTTTCTATGTTTAATATTGTTTATGGGCCTATGTAATAGTTGTGAGAAATGTTTGACGTATACATTTGTCATTTTGCACTAAACATTTTAAAGTTAGTATTAGTAATATAGTATACGAAGATTAAAGAAATTTTTTCGATATACAGCGTAGGTGGGCTTGCCAAAATTGAGACAATCCTACCATGTTAGGGGGACGAAACTAGATCAAAGAGGATGAAATAACAATAAAGGCACATCTTCGTGTCAAGGTGGCCCCGCTTCGATGGCTGAAACATGCCTTAAAGGAAAGACATCCACCCTCCATGGACAATCCAAATAGCATCTAAAGTCCATTGTTATGCGTGGTCAAACCTTAGTGATCAGGTGAAAAATGCTTATTTAAAATAACAACGGTCATCGCTGAGCCAAGTTTGTCGTAGTGTTCATCAAACAAAGCAGTATAAGTGGTGATTACTCAGCTATGGTCTCTTTCGTTACCTCGCAGAAAGGTTTTAGGACATTAGTTTCTGGTGAATTTATGCTTGCCATAACAGGTAAAGAGATTTGGAAATGTGAAATTAGGAGATGTCGAGCAAGAGTTAACACAATAGATGATCACATAGTATTGGAAAGGTGTGGTCATATTGATGTACTTTCCAGTAAAGAAACGTATACGTTATTTTTGTGTTGATGATGCAATAAATACAATAGTTTAACGTTACGAACCCGAAGACCCATTCACATTTTTGAAAAATATTTCGCGTATTTTGAACCTTAATGTGGTATAACTACCTTTACTTTATTTGTTTTATACATTTTCATTTATTATACCTTTCAGGCTATAGGAGTAAGTTTGCTATAATTTTATCTTTTTCGAATCAAATGCTACTAGAAAATGTAATAAATCTTTTGATGGTTTGTTAGGTTTAATACATTCATTTTATTCACAATTTTTATGCGTAAAAAGTAAACAAAAACATTAACAGTTAATTTAAAAAAAAAGTTCAAATCAACCAAAATCATCGTACATACTATTAAAATTTCGCTGTGAGATATTTTGTCTGAGATATTTAGTCTGAGATCATTAGTCCGTGAGATATTTTGTCTGAGATATATTGTCTGAGATCATTTGTCCTGAGATCATTTGTCATAGAACCATATAATCGTACCAGATGCCTGACTGGCTGCAAGATTACGAAATAGGTTACAACAAGCTGACCCGCGACGTAACATACGCCGCTCTTTAGTTGTTTTATTTTTAGTAGCCCATCACTTGTGATTTCGACACTACAAATGCTGCGACTGAAAACATTTTGCTCTACAACTGTCCGTGACGACATTTTACATACAACAATGAAAAGATCAAGAGAACGTGTTATTACTTCCCCTTAGTTTCAAACCGTTTAAAAACTAAAGTATTTGCCCTTAATAGATGTCACTTATTCGACTAAGCTCAACGCTTGTAAACACATCACCAGACTGATGGGGTGAGGGTGGTAGCGATATGGTCTGTAGAGCATGCAAGAAGAGCATGCCTAAAGAGCGAGAGAGGTGGAGGTTCGTCGTGCGTCTACGTCTTGACCCGCATGGTCCCTTGATGAAGAAAATTATATTTATAAATGATGTCAACGATGTGTTACCCGTATTGTATTTTTACAAACGTGAACTCGCTTTGTAGACGTTATTTAAAGTAAGAAGATTTCACCAATACTTTACCAATACGCATTTTAGACATGTGACACCAATATGATACTAAACTCGTCTTTGCTTACAAGTTTGTATCTATTTTGTTTGGTTATATATTTGTCCAACTTATTGATCAGAAAACATAATACACACATTTAATAAAACATAGGCTGCCAATATCCAAAAAGAAAAGCTAAACCATACTATATACATACTATATAAATGATTTTCTTTTTTTTGGCCGAGAAATTTAAATTTGAATGACATAATTCGTTTCTTTATATTCTAAAATTGGGAAATGTGGGGAAGTGCATTATTACATTAAAGCCTGTTATTAAAACTTTTTTTTAATGAATTTTTTTTTAAATTCTATTTTTATTCATATATTTAATGACACCGTTGATGTTGTTTACTTTTCGAGATTTAAACTTTATATTAATTTTGTTTCATGTAACAGACTGTATTTGGTATATTGTATTTGGAATGAAACGTGTATGATAGTTGAATACCTGGCCATTGGAAGTGAATGCCTGAGTGATCAATCACTGTATGCTTTTTTAAGATCGCCTACTGACTGCTGGGAATGAAGGTAGGGCTATATAATTGGGGTAAATTAATCGTTGAGTGGACCACCTAGATGAATGCAAGGGAAGCTATGAGTCTTGACGGTTGGAACTTGAAATGTATCCAGTACTATTCCTGTGATTGTATCTTGTGTATTCATGCACTTGATGTATAAGTGCTATATCAAACGGTGGATGTTTGATTACTGAATGAACTATATTCTTTGTGGATTTTACTATTGTAAATAAATTTGTGAAATCAAACAGCACTTTATTAGCTATATTTTACGAAAGAAGGACTCAAAATAACACCAAAATCAGCAACCAAGTTGATTTCTCTCGAGTGACGTCATTTTGCCAGTGTTTTTGTGTTACTTGTAAGTTTTATATCATTTGTATACTTAGTTTTAATTTTTCTAATGAGTATTGGTAGCCAATGTAGTATTAAATGTGCCATTTTTTTTATTTATTTAGTTATATCTTTTCTTTTTCAATAATGTCGTTCAGTATGTAGTAAAGCGCATTTCGTTTTGAAAATAACTTTTAATATAATATATTTCTCAAACAAGTAAACAGTTTAAAATGTATAGGCCTATAATTCACGTATAACGGGTACTGATGTCCAGTCTGTATATAAAAGACTTACCTGAGGACGATATAGCTGTCAGCGTGCCCCTGTATAGTCCAGGTATACATCATGTTGTCCAGGTTGCCAAAAGGATATCCAGTGCTAGAGATGTTACCTTGAGGCTCGTTCATTATGATATTGAGATCTGGTGTAATCACATTTTATTAAATAATGTCAGTTTTAATATTAATACTAGACTACCCGTCATCCGTTGGATAACTGTGGGTTTTGGGGGTCTGCCATCAAAAAGCATCACGTCTGTCACTCTGATGCGTAGCGACCCTTCCCGGCGCCCGGGGACAAACTTTCCGATTTGACCCCCCCCCCCCCCCCGCAAACTTTCGATTTGCACCCCACTGAACCTTTCAATGTATTTTTCCTACCCATTTTGGCGCCCCCTAAGGTCGGCGCCCGGGGACCTATGTGTCCCCTCCGCCCCCGCCCCCCCCCCACACCCCGCTACGCTACTAAAATGTCACTTATCGTCACAAAAAAACAGACCCCCACATTCAAAAATATGTTTTTTCTTTTAAAAACACCGAAAACACCGATTTCGAACTATCCCGTAATATACTGACGTCACAGGTGACCTACTCAACTCTACTTCATCTGCCCAGTGTCCCATCAAGTCTCAGCCAACATGTTTTTATCGTTTAAAAAACGATTCCAGCCGAGTACGTCTCTGACCACACTATCCCTTCATATGCTTAGGACAAAGAAACAGATGAACTCTACTTCACCTGCCCTGTATCCCGCCAAGTTCAGATAGGCAACTTTATCATTCACATCTAAAAAAAAAATTGAAAAAAAAAATGTCATTGACGTATTGGTCTAGAACCTGCGCCACCCGCATGAGAGCCGATTACACTACCAACTTAGCTATTTACTGGTGACGTCACAAGTGAATTTATATACTATTATATTACTACACTTTGAGTCTCCTTATGCAACTTGATTTACGCGCATAGATCTAGATCTAAGTGTAGTAGTAGTAACTAAATTAAATTTTATCTTAAATTAGCAAAACAAAAATTTATCTATATACTACTAAAAGTCAAGTTTGTTTACATGTTTGAATATTTATTTGTTTGTTTTTTTGTTTGCCTGATTGACTATTGCTCATGGTTGCACTCATCGTGGAAAGCTGTAAAATAGTATGTAGGTAGAGAAAAAATTTTGTTTTAAGACAGACTGTTAATCACACATTTATTTAAAGACGTTAATTAATTTATTGATTTATTCATAGTTAAATTAACCGTATTTTTTTAAAAATGTTAATACTTTGAATAAACTTTGTGGGGATAGTGACGTCCCTTGATGTGTTTACTTTTTGGTTCAATAAAAATGGCGGACTCCATCATAGACTTTGTGGCCCATTCAAAAGTTTAACGCGTTACAAAGCTAATTTTCTGCCGGCTATAACTTAAACAATACGTCCGTTTGCTGTATTTATTACGTTCCAACACTTATATCAATTTTAAACTGTCTTTTTTCATTTAGTTTTACAATAAATTTCTCTAGATCTAAAGATCAGCTGTCGAAGGAAAGTTATTTATAGATCTAGATCTAGATCTAGAATCTAGGTCAAATCAAATCTAATTTTCTGTCGGTCATAACTTTAACAATACGTCCGTTTGCTGTATTTATTACGTTCCAACACTTATATCAATTTTCAACTGTCTTTTTTCATTTAGTTTTACAATAAATTTCTCTAGATCTACAATCTGTCCAAGAAAGTTATTTATTTATAGATCTAGATCTAGAATCTAGAATCTAAATCTAGGTCAAATCAAAAATTTATTAGTTATAGATCTTAATACAAACCAAAAAAGAAACGAGACTTAAGCAAACCAGTCGTAGATCTAGAATATAGATAATTCTATCTAGATTTAGATAATAATGAGTTTCTATATACTAAAATATTTTAGACCTTTATTATTTTATATAAATCTTTGTTTGGAATATGGTAATTTTGAAATGCTCGCTCCGGGCCTATCAGCGTAGCTAATGATTAGATCTAGATCTAGATTCTAGATCTAGCAAGAAAAACTAAACTTAAGACCTAAGCAAGCGAGTCGTAGAATCTAGATCTAGATAATTCTATCTAGATCTAGCTAATTTCAGAACTTCTTTATTTTATATAAATCTTTGTTTGGCTAATTTAAGATAAAATTTAATTTGAAAGTTTCATAAGGAGACTCAAAGTATAGTATAAAAATTCACTTGTGACGTGAAGAGTAAATAGCTATGTTGGTAGAGTAGTCGGCTCTCATGCAATTGGCACGGGTTCTAGACCAATGTCAATGATATTTTTGTTTTCAATTTTTTTTTTTAGATGTGAATGATAAAGTTGCCTATCTGAACTTGGTAGGATACAGGGCAGGTGAAGTAGAGTTCATCTGTTTCTTTGTCCTAAGCATATGAAAGGATAGTGTGGTCAGAGACATGCTCGGCTGGAATTGTTTTTTAAACGATAAAAACATGTTGTCTGAGACTTGGCGGGACACTGGGCAGGTGAAGTAGAGTTGAGTAGGTCACCTGTGACGTCAGTATATGAAGGGATAGTCCGAAATCGGTGTTTTCGGTGTATTTAAAAGATAAAAAACATATTTTTTAATGTGGGGTCTGTTTTTTGTGACGATAAGTGACACTGAAGTAGCGTAGCGAGGAGGGGGGGGGGAGGGGGAGGGGAAGCGGGGGGGGAAGAGGAGGTGGAGGGGGGGCGGGGGGGGACATATGTTGGGGCGTCAAAATGGTTTGGAAAAATAAATTGAAAGGTTGAGGGGGGTGCAAATCGAAAGGTTGAGGGGGGTGCAAATCGAAAGTTTGAGTGGGGGGGGGGTGCACATCAAAAGTTTGAGGGGGGGGGGGGTTGCAAATCGAAATCTTTCGGGGGGGGGGGGGTTCAAATCGAAAAGTTTGTCCCCGGGCGCTGGGAAGGGTCGCTATGCCTCTGAGTGACAGACGTGATGTTTTTTGATGGATGACCCCGAAACCCACAGTTATCCAAGGGATGACGGGTAGTCTAGTATAAAATAAAGAAGGTCTGAGATTATCTAGATCTAGATAGAATTATCTAGATCTAGATTCTACGACTTGTTTGCTTAAGTCTTAAGTTTAGTTTTTGCGCTAATATGCCATGGAGCGAGCATTTCAAAATTAGAATATTCCAAACAAAGATTTATATAAAATAATAAAGGTCTAAAATAGTTTAGTATATAGAAAATCACTATTTTCTAAATCTAGATAGAATTATCTATATTTTAGATCTACGACTGAGCTATATTTAGAATTTACGTTTATAATTTAGCAAAATTACCGGTATCAAAGCCGCGTATGAATCTTAAGCTACGCAAATAGGCCCTGGAGCCAGCATTTCAAAATTTGCATAGTCGAAACAAAGAGTTATACAAAATCATAAAGGTCTAAAATATTTTAATATATAGAAACTCATTATTATCTAAATCTAGATAGAATTATCTATATTCTAGATCTACGACTGGTTTGCTTAAGTCTCGTTTCTTTTTTGGATTGTATTTAGATCTATAACTAATTATTTGACCTAGATTCTAGATCTAGATCTATAAATAACTTTCTTGGACAGATTGTAGATCTAGAGAAATTTATCGTAAAACTAAATGAAAAAGACAGTTGAAAATTGATATAAGTGTTGGAACGTAATAAATGCAGCAAACTGACGGTTTGTTAAAGTTAAAGCCGACAGAAAATTAGCTTTAGAACGCGTTAAACATTGGAATGGGAACACAATCTTCTACGATAGGCCGCCATTTTATTGTTATAAAAAGAAAACAAAAAATGTGACGTCACTAGTTCGTCGACTTTAGTGGTTTTCCTAATCTTTTTAAAAAAATGGTTAATCTACCTATGAATAAATCAATAATCTAATTAACGTCTTTAAATAAATTTGTGATTAACAGTCTGTCTTAAAACAAAAATTGTTCTCTCCCTACATACTATTTTACAGCTCTCCACGATGAGTGGAACCATTAGATATAGTAAATCAGACAAACAAATTAATATTCAAACATGTAAACAAAATTGACTTTTAGTAGTGTTAGATAATTTGGTCGTTGACAATTAATTCCAATAGATAATGTTAAAAATCAATACAGGATTTTTTTTTATTTAATTGTATTTTACAACTATTAAGTTAGAGAATAAATCAAAATTATATACTGTAATAGCTTAAAATAACATAAATATAAACCGACCGCCGGTCTTTCAGCGAGCAGGTGAAAGAAGAGGGTGTACATTTGTCCATCCTTTAAACTAACAGACATGTTTAAAACAATCTAAAACTGAATCTAATAATTTTAAAACGATAATAAACATTATATTTCATTAATAAAATATATGTTGTATAATTTTAATCCAACATATGAATGCCCAGTCTCCGAATAATAGACTTATATTAAACGTAGTATACTTAGTTGCAATACTTTACATTTTTTGTATAAAACACTACTGCTCATATCGTTGAAATCAAAATCAGTATTTTTACTTGGTGATTTAAAGTCGTCCAATAGTATATCATACATCTTTTGATAATAACTAATCCCTTAACCCCTTATTAACCATTAGGATTGCACGCATAATTTTAAATATCTCAGCAAACATTTCGTAGTAAAATGACACGTAGCATTTAAAATTGTTAACGTTTTGAAGATATCGTTAAAAGTTTTTTAGGTACAGTATGGGACAAATGTGTCCTGATTTTCCGGAAGGGAACAACTATCGATAACACGCTGTGTTATTAATTATATCAATATCTTTAGCTTTTAAAATGGTTAATGGTTACTTTGATGCATTAGAAATGGAAAATATAAGGAATGAAAACACAATTATTTCCCTAATGAGTGTATATACATCTAAGAATGGAGCTGCTGGAAGCAGTTATATAATGGTGAATAACATAGATGAACGTGTCAAACATCACATATATTGTCCGGTCTGTTTTCATCCTCTTCTCTCGTAATTTGCGCACACCTCATGCCTTTTTCTTTCTTTTGATTTATCAACTCGTGTTCAGGTTGTGGGGTTAAAGTAAACGTCTTGTTGCACCGAATATGTGTAGAGGTATTCCTTCCTTTGTGTAATCTTTTAATAAGAG